TTTCCCTATATCCATATAATTAAGTCACTGCTAAAATGCTACTTCACTAAGCACTGCTTAGACATACAGAAAAAAACCAAACAAACTAAAGCACACCCTGAAACATTTCCTTCTCCTAAAAAGAAAAAACTTCAGCTAGGTTCTACGAGATCTCTTGCTCAAGTTGAAGTTCATCTTTCAAAACCATCTAGAAAATCAACAATCTTTTTTTCAGGAAGAAGAGAGATTAGTTATGTTTCTCTTAAACAAGAAAAAGTAGCTTCACATAGAAGCAGCCCATTCTTACCTGAAATTCATTTATGTATTGTGCCATTACAAACTCATGCCTTTCACTTGCTGAAGGCTCTGCTAATATATCAGGCAGACTTTTGGAAACTTGGCTCTTCTTCTGAGCAGCAGTGCCATTTAGGTGACAGTCAAAACCAATATTACCAGGCAGCTGGAATCTCTGGTCCTGAGGACCAAATGGACCCATTACTTCATCCGGCCACACAGTTCTTGGACCTGCAAAAGTCAAAGCCTTGCTTTAGCCATCACATATAAAAAGAAAAAACAAAACAAAACCCAAACCCTCTCCCATGCAAATATCTGCATTTGATCACAATCATATATAACCAAAGTAACCACAGTGCACAAGGGCAAGCCCTGGCATAAAACACACACTTCAAAATTCCCAAATATATATGGGGTTCAAAGTTCTGAGAGCACACGAATTCAAAGACAATGAATTTGCTTTTTCTTACATAAATCAGGAGGTGTAGCAGCAACATGAGGCTCATCTGAGCCAGAGGAACCTGCTGTAGAAAAAGCCTTGGGATTTACAACTCTTTTGACTAAGGAATAAACCCCTGGTAGGTAGGTGACCAATCTTGCTCTGTTACAGAGCACCTGAGAAGACAAAAACAAAATAAGTATTACATACTGCTAGCAAAATTCCTAGTTTAAGTACAGCTTGTGGCTTGCTTAATAAATCCTCACTCGATAATTACATTACAATTTTAATTATGAGCAATTGTGTTCTTGTTTAATTAAGTTTTAAAAGTATTTCATTATTACTTCTACGTTTTATTAGTAATAGCATTCTAAGTAAAGGAAAAGCCTCAAAAACATGGGAAAGCCTCCACACCATGAGGAGTAACTCTGAATCCCAATAATGATATCTTAAGCAGTAATATAAGCAACTGAAACTACGGTTTTCTGTGAGTGATTTTTGTGTTTGGTTTTGGCTTTTTTAAACAAGAAATCTCCCAGTCATGTGATTACACTGAAAATTTATACTTTAAGAACAGATTGAAAACTTTCATGATGCATTTACACACACGTAACAGAAAAACAACCATACTCTCAAAACACAGAGTTGGATTTATAATTAAAAAGACAGACTACTGAATTCCAGCACAAAACTTCTAATACTCTTGACTGCAGTTGCACAAAAGCAGCATTCTATAAATCCCACCTGCCACAGCACATGTGCTTCCAAAAAACTTTATTTTCCAGGTGAAGGAAAGAAATTATTTCGAGGAATTGACATAAAGGGATTTTCCTCAAGCGCCGTATGCTTGATTCTATACAAGTTTATGTGTGTGTTCAACACTAAATATATATACAAGGTTACTTAAAAAAAAAGTGAGAAAATGCTACTATTTATATGCTTAAGAGAAAAACTCTATTCACAGTACTAGGGTCTAAGCCAGTAAGCATCAGTTTCTTAAATACCACCTCTGCATAAACATTTAGCTTGGAGCAGAGGAGCCTGAGGGGTGCCCTCATTCCTGGGGATCCATTTGGAAAGGGCGCGTGTCAGGAGGAAGGAGCCAGGCTCTGCTCTGGGATGGCCAATGCCAGGACAAGGGACAATGGTCCCAAGCTGGAGTACAGGAGGTTCAAGCTGAAGATGAGGCCAAACTTTGTGAGTGTGAGGGTTCTGGAGCATGGCCCAGGCTGCCCAGAGAGGTTGTGGAGTGTCCTTGTGTGGAGACACCCAAAGCCCTGGCCGTGTTCCTGTGTGACTGCTCTGGTGCTCCTGCTGTGGCAGGGGTTGCACTGGGGGAGCTTTCCAGGTCCCTTCCAGCTCCTCACATTCTGGGATTCTGTGATAAGAAGTCTAAGAAGTCTTACCAACATCATAAAGACTAAAATGCATAAAGGCACATTTGATTTTCTGGCTTAAATGAATTATTTACAAGTAAGGCCTTAAGCTGCCTGGTTCTAAAACACTGCCACATTGAAAAGGTTTCTGTAACAACAACAACACTCTGCTGAATCCACTCCAATTTTTTTTCCCCCTCTACTATATAAGAGCACTACTGAAATTAATTTTTGCATAATGATTACATTATAGACAAAACAGATGTAAACAATTACAGCCGACACATAATTACAAGAAAAGAGTATTTTTTTCCTTATAATCAGGACCACTTAACAAGGAGATGTCAGCGTTAATTACAGATATGCTGACAGAGCTCACTTATGCAAATATTTACATACCTAGCATGACACAAATGAAAAAATACCGCTGAAGTCGATAAATTATTCATGTTTCCGTGGCAAGACTAAATCAATAAAGCACGTTTCATTCTTTGGTGTCCTGGTGAACTCGAGTATTTTATCTTAACTCAAGACATTGCAAAAACCAAACCAGAACAGATCCTGCTTAATCCTCCATTTGATTACTCCGATATCCACAGAAATCGGCTTCCAAAACTTAGAGGGAAGAATGATTATGTCACTGCCTTCTAATATAAACATACCCTGAATTTTATTAATGACTCCCCTACACGCACGACGATTTAAAGACAGCTTTAAAGCGGAAATAAAACGCAAACTTCCTGCCTGACACGGAGAAGGGCCCTCCTTCGACGGCGCCCGTTCGCCTCCTCACCGGGCGGGTTTACAGCCACCCCCGCACCCCAACCCGGAGGAGAAGGGGGCCGCGTCGCCACTAACGCCC